TCGTAGCATTGTCGTGGTACCTCGTGACAGCGTCGTATTAGTGTCGTAGCATTGTCTTGGTATCTCGTATTTGTATCGTAGCATTGTCGTGGTACCTCGTGACAGCGTCGTATTAGTGTCGTAGCATTGTCCGGAAGCTCCTCGATATGAAAATGACTTTTTCGTATCGTGGTATCTCGTATTTGTATCGTAGCATTGTCGTGGTACCTCCTGACAGTGTCGTATTAGTGTCGTAGCATTGTCGTGGTACCTCGTGACAGTTAGTGTCGTAGCATTGTCGTGGTACCTCGTGACAGCGTCGTATTAGTGTCGTAGCATTGTCTTGGTATCTCGTATTTGTATCGTAGCATTGTCGTGGTACCTCGTGACAGCGTCGTATTAGTGTCGTAGCATTGTCTTGGTATCTCGTATTTGTATCGTAGCATTGTCGTGGTACCTCGTAGCAACGGCGATCCAAGAAACTGTGTTTGTATCGTGTGATGGGTTTGCAGTGGGAAGCCGGTGACACCATATTGATAAATTTACATATTACTTATTGGTATAATTGTTTTTATAGCAGTTGTACTTTATACTTATGAATGCAAGATTTTGTAATGTACTTTTTACAACGTCGCGCCCAAATTTTAATACGTTATATATTTTTTTATATATTGCTGCACTGTTAAGTGAATTTAACGCTTTAGCAGTACCAAGGTCATGTGAATAAAGCCATTATTTACCTTACCTTACCAGCAGGTTTAATAAAGAGGACGTGATGAGATATCGCTTGCAGTCGTAGCAAAAACCTTGTATGTAGCTAACACGATTACATACGAAGTATATTTTTGGCAGTTGACATCATGTTTATTAATTTAAATAGAAAGCTTGAGGACGGAATAGAATGTGGTATTCCAGTCCATGTGGCGATGAAGAGTGACAAATTTGAAAGATTACGCTTTCAAACTACGCTTTCAATATAACTCGCGGGACGTCAATATTCTTGATGAATCTTTCAATTTCTGTTGATTTTGAGCCTGTAATCCATTAATTAAGTATACGAGGAAACAATGGATATATTAAAAAAGTGCTAAGTACATACATACACACTTTGCCTTTGGTTACGTCCACATGCATGCATGCATTAATCCGTTTTCGTATTGTTTCAGATAATTAGACCATTGTTCTTTATTCTCTTGTGAACGGAGACGAAAACGCTACGAAAACGGATTTGTGTGGACGTTGCCTTTATTTGTATAGGGTACGCAATTACATAAAATCTGCATGTATTCTCCCTTTATAGATGTAGCAAGGCTAGTTTACACTATCAAAGTTTCTGTGATCACGTAGGAATTTTGCGAATTCTTTTTGAAAGATTTGTAAGAACTTTTTGAGGGAACTGACACTTGATTTGAATTTTGAATATAACAGACCTCGTCCTTGATAATTCTCGATATCATACTCAACCTCATTAAGTCAATAATTGTTTATTATCATGCTTTGAAATACGCCCTATTCGATTTACTTAAATGAGTGGAATTATACCGGCTTAACTTTTTCCATAAATTGTGTTATAGAAGAACGTTCTTTCCAAATTTAATAGTTCTTTGGTTAAGCAAGATTAGATTGAGTATAATAATTATGTAAAAACGTAAAGATTGTAATTCATTTATCAAATAATCAGAACCAGATTTCTTCAGAACTTTCCTAAACAGGTGCAACCGACTTGCCAGACAAAGTTCGTGGACAGAATACCAATTTAACTTTAGGAATAGATCCAAATATCTTGATTATGTATGCTAAAATTAGCACGGAATTAGAAATACAAAGTAGTGGTGGTTTTAACATTGATAATAGTAAGAGAGAATTGTAAGAGAGGTTAAGACATTACTTCCGCTGCCGCTATACCATTATTCAAGAGACCATTATTCATTAAACAATCACATGCGTTTGATATATGCGATTAACCAATCAGAACTAAGCAAGTGAGAAGTAGTGGTAATCAGATGTGAACGTCATTACTACAAGCAAGTATTCATTTGCAGCTGTCCATATTTACACAGCCAATCTCAGAACATAATTCACATGCAAGTTACAATGATGGATAATTTTATTTCTTTCCAGATTCTTAAGAAATTTTCCTACCTCGAACATTATTTCAACATATGAATGAGTGTTTCATATCCTATAGAAAAAGCCAGGGATTTCAATTTATACAATTTATCCGAAAGACAGTACGGTTGCTCCATATGTTTGACTCCAGTTTCTGGCATTCCACGAAATAATTAATTTCCTAACTAATGGACCGGCGATCCCAAATCAGAGCCGTATCGAACCTAGTGTGGACACCCAATACAAGACCCGATTCGAAATCGATCTAAACTAGACTACCTTGAGAGCTTATCTTGGATCGGTTCACGTTTTAAAACCGAGCTAATTTCTCGTTTAGCAGCCTGGCACCCCCCCCCCCCTTATTGATGGTAGTTAATTCAGTTAATTTATTCAAGGTTTTGTTACTCCACAAGAAGTCTAAGGACCGGCCTAGGATCAATTTGGGTCTGTTCACACTTAGCTCACTATAAGATCGATCTAAAGCCCTTTGAGATCATTCTAATTTAGATCGATCTGAAGTGTCCGTGGAATGACTATAACTTCAATGTCATGGGGATTAGTTTCGAAGAAAACATATGCATATTGCTTGATTGCTATTTCAATGTTCTTTCACATTGTTTCTTAAAAGTAATATTGGTTCTCATTAATTCATTAAGTAGTATTGCTTCTCATCAATTCATTAAGTAGTAGTGCTTCTCAATTCTCATTAATTCTAAATCCAATAACTGTAATTCGAGCATTCAAATTGTGTACGATTTGAGAATTAGTTGGTGATCAAGCAATTGGCATATGTTTATTCACAGTTACTAATGTAAATATTGAAACGGGGGACTCAGGGGAGTGCCTCGCATGGGACTTTGATGGGACTTTGAGTCGTACTCTAACCGCTTGGACATGGTTCAATAAATTGATTTAAATAAATAAATATGTCTTATCACTCAACTTTAAGTTAGAATTATATCATTAAACTAGAGCTGGTGTCAATATACTTTAGTAATTATTCCTTGTGTGTTTCAGGTTAGAACTTTGAGCCTCATCATGTCGGAAAGTGATAGCAATACCTGGGTAAGTGAAAGACAATGTGTCGGTGATGCCAAGAAAATCCTTATAGCCTAGAGCTGTCTCGTTCGTATGAGCACATTTCCTCAACTTTTTCAGTAAATTGAGTAAATTTGAAACTTCACTCAAACAATTGAGAAATTTGATCATACATTTGAGTAATTTTACTCAATATTTTGACTCACTGCATTATTTTACTCACGTTTTTGAGTCAACATTTTTTGCAGTGTTTGATAATTACGTGAGAATCCTTTTCAAACTCTTCGTCAAACTCGTCAGCCTGAAGAACTATCGAGAGTTATTTCTTCAATCGTTTTCGTTTTCATGACTTTCTTTCTAGTCTGAACTTCTTTTGTTCCCTAACCAATCACGTTGCTCTACCTGACTGACTACGCTCCTGACAAACCTAGCTCACACTCATTGACCACGACTAACTAATATCCTCCATGTCATTCTAGCACTTCTCTGTTCATCTTCTGTCTGTGCTCCTACCTTTCCATTCACTTTCTATTTTCACCCTCCATTCCATCCACCTTCCATTTTCCCACTTTCCTATTTTTCTTCTTCTTCTACATCTCATCTAGTGGTATGCACCATGCAAAGGACCTAGTGTCGTTGTATTTCGCCACTTTTGCCACCTTCTATATAGTTAGTATTCTCCATATTCTTGTTAAATTTAATTGTCTATGTAAGTTATGTACAATAACGCAAATGGAGTACGCCAAATTGAATCTATTAGATAAATTATCAACGTTATTTTCACGGAATACGTTTCATTTCACTTGTCATTAAGTTTCGTTTCATTTCACTTGTCACTAACGCCCGTATTCTAAAACTCACTCACACTCAATGAGTAGAGGTTCAATCTGAGCTTCTCTTAGGTGCCAGTGCAGTTTTTGAATAGCTGGAGGGCTAGTGTCGTACCTTAATTTGTGACTACTCACCCTCCAGCTAACATCCTTGACACTCAAGAGAAGCTCAGATTGAACCTCCACTCATTGAGTGTGCTTTTAGAATACGTGCGTAAGTTTCGTTTTATTTCACTTGTCACTAAGTCTCGTTTCATTTCACGCGTCACTAAGTCTCGTTTCATTTCACGCGTCGCTCGAAACGTCGAAATTCTGCTTATATATTTTGAGGTAGTGGCATTCCTACCAACGAAAGCTTGTACTGTACATCCACATCAATCCGTTTTCGTTTCAAGTAATTACACCATTCTTCTGTATTCCCTTGTCAACGGAGAAGAAGACGAAAACGCTACGAAAACGGATTAGTTTGGACGTCGCCTTATTCCGTATTAATGTCTATGTTGTATCCCCAGAGCTGGTTTTTTCAGCCCATACATTTAATAAATTACTCAGTTTCTCTTACTATAAACATTAATATTAATATCTCAACATTATTGATATCATGACAGAATACATTATATCGAGGTAGGCATGCAGTTGTGATATATCGATATTTTCGATAAATATCAATATTTCAAAAATATCGATATTCGATATCCAATTTTTCGCATATCGAAAATATCGAACGTTGTAACTAAACAACTTAATCTCCGATTATTCAGTCGGCAATTATTGTTTTCATCGGTGAAGTTTAGACAACGTGTGAATGGCGGCAATTGCGAATTTATGATACAAGTGCGTGGGCAATTGAAATTAAAAGCTGAGTTGGAGATGATGGATAAACTGTTGTTAATAAATCTTTGAGACGTACCATGACTGGTTTCATGCACTTCTTTTTAACTGTTTGTGATGCGTATACATGCAAGTTGACTAAATTACGTTTTCTCATTAGCATAATTCGATATAGTCGACATCGATATTTTTTTCGATATCGCAACTGCCTATATCGAGGCGGGCAGGCCTAGCAAATTGCCCCGCGGTTTTTTAAGTAGAATCTGCCCAATTAAACACTGACTAATAATAATTAATAATATTCAATCTTGCAATTTTCAAATGCGCATTACAATGATTTAAAAGTATATCTGAATATGTTACATATGAAATATACATAAAGTTTAGCTTAACCGTTCCAGGACAGCTACTCAAAAGCTTGACAGAATAAAAATGTCTTAATAGACTGTTTAATTTTAAGGATGATCAACTTCTAATATGATATTTTGCATGAGCTGCCATGCAGAATGCTGTATCGCCTAAAGTCTTTAGTGATTTCCCTGACAGAACGCTTAATAACTGAACTGTGGGGAACACACGGAACTGTGGGGAGCGGGCTGCAGTCCCCTGTTTCGTACGCCTATGTGTCTGCCTACACAGAAATTGATGCAATTAACGCGACAATAAATGATATTTTTGTAGGACCTTATTGAAAAGGCTTGCAAGGAAGCTGGGAAAAGGAAGC